GTCCAAGAGCATGAATTTCGTTCTTTTTCAGTTGCCGGGATCAGAGTTCAATGACCTCTACCTCGGCAGCTTCTTTTGCAATTCGGTGAGCTTGCTGCAGAAACCCCTGAAAACCTTTGTGATTGCAAGTTTGGAGAAACTCTGTAGCAGCGAGGGAGAACTTCAAGAACCACAACCTCAAGGGACTACTGCTATTTCGAGTTCGGTATCTACTACCACTTCCTTGCATCAACTCGGAAAACAACCATCTACACCAACGAGGGTCCCTGAAGAACAAGGCATAGAACCTTCGGTTTCGATAAATTCGACATCGACGACCACTTCCTTGCATCAAGTCGGAAAACAGCCATCTACACCAACGAGGGTCCCTTCAGTTGTAGAAACATGGCCAGTGTCGTCACCAGTCCAGGAAGGTCGATATGGTGCCCGTAAGCAAGGACCCCAGCTGTACTTCATTGTCAATGATAAGACTCTGAACCGCATCTTTGCCTCCCTGGACTGGCACAACAGTCCTTGGGTGTCGGCCGATCCCGAGGAGTTAGAGCTGTGCGCACGGACCTTTGTTCACTGTTTGTGTCATGGTCAGGCGCTGGACGGTTGCACGCATCCATCCACCGCGGAGGTGCAGGCAGCAGTGAGACGCCATCGTCCCGCCTTCGAGGGTGTGTTGAAGGCAGTGCGGAACCAGACCGCCTTCGTTTTGAGCTCCGAGGTTGCTTTCTCTCTCTATGGGGCGGGAAAAATGGCTTATACGGCTTCGTTTTCGTCGCCGCCGCCAACCTCGGTGAGCTACCCGAATGCAGTGGACCAGGGCGAAGAGCAAGAGGGTGACGAGGCGTTGCGAGAGGTGCAGAGTGCGCTACGTCCGGTGACAGAGAATGCAGATGTCGCCAAGGCCATGGCAGAGATGGATGATTACCGGAAACATGAAACAGTTGGCCGGTTCTCTTTACATCCACAACTGCGTCGTGAGGTGTTCAAGGTGCACCGGAACTTGAACCACCCAGCCAAAGAGGTTTTCCTCAGAGCTTTGCGGCACTCGGGAGTTCGCGAAGACATCTTGCAGTGGATTAAAGAATATTTTCGGTGCCCTCCGTGCGAAGCCTCCAAGCATTCCCTTCCTGCACGACCGGCTCACCTCGCGAAAGCCCTAGAGTTCAATGCCATTATTGCTGTGGACCTCTTCTATATGAACTTGTTCGGCTCAGAGAAGGTTTTCCTGCTTTGCATTGATTACGGTACGGACTATGTGCAGGTGACCCAGTGTGCGGATGCCAAGGCGTTGACTGTGAGAAAGGCGCTCAGCAAATGCTGGGTTGCCCCTTTTTGGGGTTCCCGAGCTACTAATCTGCGACCAAGGACCAAAGTTTGCTGGAGAACAGTTTGTCGAGTACATGTCGCAGATGGGTGCGGCAGTGCATTACACAGATGGTTCTTCGCCTTGGAAGAATGGAAGAGCAGAGAGAGCGATTGGCACGGTCAAAAGGAAGATCAAAACCGTTGTGCAGGAGACGTCGGCTACGGAGGAGGAAATTGATTTGGTTGTTTCCCAAGTCGTGGCCGGGCACAACAGCTTGTATGACCGCCATGGGTATTCCCCCAACCAGCGGCTGTTTGGGCGAAGTCTTCGCCTGCCTGGTTCCTTGATGGCTACCAATAAGTGGGATCAGGAGATGCTACAAGCTTCTGCCGGTGACCTCGTGCAACGCAGCTGGGCCATCCGAGAAGCTGCACGGGCTGCGTGGATCAAGGAAGATGATGTGGTGTCAGTGCATCGGGCAGCCTCAGCCCTCACCCGACGCTCGGATGAACATTCGTTCGGCTTCAAGCCAGGTCAATGGGCCTACGTTTGGCGCAAGACGGACAACCGCTATGGTTGGGTTGGACCTGGTGCTCTGATTGCCATGACTCCGGGCGGCAATTCTTGGTGGATCAATATGAGGGGCCGGCTGTGGAAGGTTTCCGCGGAACAACTACGCGCAGCATCCCCCGAAGAAGATCTTGGAGCGGCCCTGGTCACGGAACTTCATCGGGAGCTTCTTGAACAGGTGAGAGAAGGAGTTCGCACAGGCTACGAGGACGTGACCCGGGAGGGAGCTCCGGATCGCACCGCGGAGGAGATTTTTCCTGAAGTTTTCGGAGACACTGAGATGGAGTACAGCCCGTCCGAGGTCTCGCACGGTGACCGAGACCTTCCAGAACCTCCTGCCGAACTCCGCGACGAAATCACCACTACGGCTGGAGAGGCTGCGAGTGAAAGAGTCGTCACCACCGAGGCGGACATGAGCCGACGCCAGAGCGTGCAGTCTGGTGCTACAAGTGAGCCGGCGAGTGCATCCGCAGCGCTCCCGGGCGAACGACCGACCATCCGCGTGGACGAGGCCAGCAATGGTTCCTTACTTCTAGGCCCGGTCCGAGATCGTCGGTCTGCTCAAGTGCACCAGCCATACTACGCCAGGAACGCCTTCTTGGATGAGGAGATCAAGCCCTCAACGTACCTCGAGGTTTTCCAGTTCGACGAGATGGGGCCCACGAACTTCAACTACGCGTCGTCAGCGGGACCACGCTGGCTGAGGTTGCACACCTCTGGACGACGTCACTTGGAGCCTTTGGATTCCAAGTCCTCCTTCAAAGCCTGCGATGCGGAAGCCAGCTTCTGTGCGAGGGACAAGTGTATGTACATGACGAAGAGCAAGGTGTCTTTCGGACAGGTTGAGTACTCCAAGCTTCAAGGCGAAGAGAGGGAAAAGTTTCGTGGAGCCCGCAAGAAGGAGTTCGACTCCCTGCTCAACAACAAGGCCATACGTGTGTTGTCAGTCAAGGAGTCGGAGGAGTTTCGGCGACTACACCCGGACCACGTGTTGAACTCAAGGTTCGTTGACCGCTTCAAGCCAAAGGAGATTGCACCCCAGGACCTCGAGGATGCAAAACAGGCGGCGATCAAGCACGGCAAGTTGGAACCTCTGGCGATGACGGAGGACCGAAGTCAGCCTAAGTCCCGTTGGTGCGTGGTTGGCTGGGGCGATCCTCACGTGCATCAAATCGAGAGGTCAGCTCCTACACCTTCGAGTGCTGCAGTGAACACCACGCTTCAACTTTGTGCAAGTCGACGTTGGGCTGCACGGGTGAAAGACGTAAAAACAGCTTTTCTGCAGTCGAGGCCAACTAGCCGAAAGACTCCACTGGTCTGCCGACAACCGGCGGACGAACCCCTCCCGGGGCTCGACGCCCGCCAGCTCGTGATGTTATTAACTGAAGTATACGGCCTAGTATCCGGGCCGAGTTGGTGGCGGTCATCTTTTCTTCAACGCACCGGTCGCCTGAGATATAAAGTATGCCCGTACGAACCATGCGTACTCATACTACCCAGCAAGGATCCGGAACGTCCCACTCAGGGTGTCATGGTCATCGAGGTGGACGACATTATTGAAGGCGGAGATGAGAGGCATCGCCAGTTGATGACCGAGCTGGAGAGCGAGGTGACGTTCGGCAAGATCGTCAATCTTCAAGAAAAAGAATCGTCCTACGCCGGCAAATCGCTCAAGCAACTGCCGGACTTCAGTTTCGAGTCGCACATGGATGAGTACATCTACACTCGCATGTCGCCAATTGCAATGAGTCGCAAGGTGCTGAAGAAGGACGCGGCCACAACCCTGCTTGACGACACCGAGAAGTCGCAGCTTCGTGGTGTGTTGGCTACCTTGACTTGGGTTGGTCGCGAAGGGCGACCCGACGCAGCTGCTGCTGCAAGTGTGCTGGCAAGTACGTTTCCAGAGCCAACGGTGGACACCATCTACCAGGCGAATGAGATGGTACGCCAGCTCAAGCAGCACCCGGTGCGACTGCGCATACATGCCATACCGGAACCCAACATCCGGAACTTGCTGATTGCCGATGCCGCGTTCGACACCTCAGGCCGGGAAAAGTCTCAGCATGGCTACCTGCTGGGCTTCACAAACGATCAGCTCAACACCGGCGTCAAGGCTCCAGTCAGCTTGATGATGTGGCGCTCAAGGCGTTTGCGCCGGAAGGCCCAAAGCTCAATGCTGTGTGAGGCCTTGTCACTGTCGGCGGCTACTGGTTGCCTTGAGAAACAGGATGCTCTCTGGGATTCTTTAAGACTCTCAGGCTACGATCCTCGACAACGTCAACGGCAAGAGGAAGTCGTGCTGGAGCTGCAGGGCCGATCCACGGTCATCTCTGAAGAAGCAGCTCTCTTCAGAGATCCTCGAAGCGTCGTGGTCATCGATGCGAAAGCTCTGTACGACACGATCCTCAACGACCAGGCCGGCGAGTGTGACAGAGCTAACCTTGAGGTGGCTGTGATCCGAGAAAGCTTACAAATCTGCAAGGCGCGACCGAGGTGGATACCACACAACCTCAACCCGGCAGATGCTCTTACAAAGTTCCCAGGGGCGCACCTTGATCCCTTGGTGCGTTTGTTGAAAAGCTCAACTTTTGTCATTGCCGATGAGCAACAGACTTTGCAAAGCGGACGACAAGGTCTGAACAGGGAGAAGCTCCAGAAGTGGACAGACGCATCAGGAAATTTTATCTTTCAGGGGGCTGTGAACTCTGATTTGCATAGCAGCTACTTTCCTGATGCAGCCTCAGACCTGTGAGTTCCGTCGGCATTCTTCTCGAAGGCCTTGAGCCCTGTGGCACGCAGGTAAAAGAATCCTTAGCGGATGAGCCATGTCTTTTGAGTGAGCTGTGTGTGCATACCGAACTTTCCAGATCCGAGCTGTTACTTTACATAGGGCCCTCAGAGTTGTGGTTTTTTTTGCCGGTCGTCGGGCCTTTAAAACTTGGTCCGAAACCTTGAAATCCGAAATCTCTAAGAAAGACCATAGCCATAAACTCGCAAATCCCAAAACCTCAACCCCTTAATCAAGAGCCCTCGTGACGCAGCTCCACGAATCCCATGAACAAAATCCTAAACCCTGCCAACCCCTAAACCTCAAAATCCAACCCTTCACCGAGCCATCTACGGATCCAAGGACTTCTTGGGGGATGGCGCCCGTGGCCTCGAGAGGCAGCTCCTCCCCGACCTGGTCACGCCCATGGTGACGGAGCGGTTCTCAATATTGTTACTTTTTCCATTGCTGAAGTGATTTCTATTCTATTGAACTCTTGTCATGCTGATCCGTAGGGCCTGGGGCTTCGAGCCTGCTGCCTTCAGTTTTGTTAGTTTAGGGGCTCGGGGGGTTTGGGTCCCATGCAGGTCTTGGGGCGCAAATTTTCCGGGTTGCTGGGTTTTCGGCCACATCTACTTGCCGACGTGGACTGCTTCGGCAGCCTCCATGCTTGAATTTGGCAAACTTAGCTACGTCCTTTTTGTCTGGGTTGTAGATGACATGGTGGCAGGGGTTGCAGGCACGCAAGTTAAGGCTTCAAACTCTCAAACCTTAAACCAATCCTGAATCTGAAGCTTTACAAATTTAAGCCTGGGTGCACGCGCATGCATGCAATGATCCCCGAGATCAAAAGTCTAAGACCGCAGCTCTCTCTATCCATGCAACACCGTGACTTTGGACACTAAACCTTCTAAATTAAATGTCGGTTTCAGAGGCCAGTGATCAGAGATGAAAAAAGCAAGCATTGGTTCAGGGTTTGGAGTTTGGCGGCTTTTCCTGCTTTGGAGCTACGGCTCTGAATCCCCCAAACCCTAAATGCCCTAAATCACCCCCTAACGCCTTAAACCGTAAACGCCCCAAATAAGCCAGTTCCACGCACAGGAGATCCTGACACTGGCCCAGGATTTGGATTGTCCGGCAGCTGTGTCGCAGCCAAGTTGGCCTGGGTTTAGGTTTTAAGGGTTTAGTGGTTAGCCTTCGAAGCGACGCCGACCATGCTGAGCTTCCACACCGTAAGCACATCGGTCTCTTTGCTCCTCGGGCTGGCGCAGGAGCGGTACCAGTAGCGGCACTAGTAGCAGTACTCGTTTGTCAGTACGACTAGGTATAGCAGCAGCAGTCACATTCGCAGCATGCAGTAGCAGTAGCAGTATCAGTGGTTTTAGCAGCAGTGGCCGCAATGGCAGTAGCAGTGACAGTAGTAGCAGCAGCAGCAGCAGCAGGAGTACGAGGGGCAGTACTGTTAGCAGTACTGGCACTGGCTGTAGCAGCATTAGTAGAAGTAGCAGCAGCAGTAGCTGTAGCAGAAGTAGTAGCTGTAGCAGATTTAGTTGTGGGGGCACTTGCTGTTGAGCCGCAGTGGACGGACCAGAAGGAGCAGCAGCAGAGGCACAAAAAATACCGACGGTAGCAGCAATGCATCACAGCACAACGAGCTATTCCGTCGGAGCGGGCCTCGGTGCGGGCGTGGGCGAAGGCGGGGAAACGGGTTCGCAGCCTGTGGGTTTAGTATCAAGGTCCTGTCCTTCAGTTCCCAACCTGGGAACCGGTAGCATGATCCAAAACACCTCAAGTTTGGCATTGTGAGCTTTTGGTCCCAAGTCCCAGGTCATTGACCTGTCCCAGACCTTTGATTCCAGCATGGAAGAGCCTCGGGCAGGGATTGTTAACGATCCTCACGGCTGAGGATTCAGGGCTTTTTGGTGTTTAACGCGACGCATTCTAAACCAACCTTTGAGGCACCAGCAAGTCTTGACAAATCCTACGAACGAGAGTTGTTCCCTGATCGGCAGGCCGCAGCCAGTTCGAAACCACGAACCTCAAGGCCAATGACTTCTCAAGAACCTCCATGCCCTGCAGCCACAGGTCACAGGCAACATGCGAAGAAAAGCCACAGGTCACAGACAACATGCAAAGAAACATATTTGTCCCTCTATCCGAGGGCTAGATGTATTTCTGATCCACATCCGTGCTGACATCGCTATACTTCGTCTGGGTGGTAAGCCTAGAACTAACACACATCGTCAATAGTGATCAGGTTTTTGTCCACATCATTCTAGGCCTGAATCACCAAACCCTGTAGTGCGAACTAGGAGCACTACGGCACTGGGGAGATTGGTCGCGTCAACAGCCTTGGCACGCCCTGGAGTGGGGCCGAGCCCAGCGACGTTGGGAGCTCAAGGAACACAGGCCTAGGCCGATTGGGGCTATTTAGGTTTTGGGTCAGCGCAGTATATTCGATATAGCATCGAAGGTCAAGCCGGGCTGGCAGTTCAATCAAAGTAGGTCTGCTTCACGTTTATGGACTAGATAGTTTTCAGTCAATGGTCACAACAGGTGCTATGAGGTCTTCAACCTGCGTGACTTGTGTAGATCTTGCAGATGGTTGCATTCTGTGAAGATTTTCGGCCTCAACTCTTCAACATACGCCCAAGGCCGGATCCTGTAATCCCAAGATCTCCAAAGCAAAATCTTCATCTTGAAATCCTATGTCGAAGCAGACGTCGGGGCTGTTTTGTTTTTTTTACGAAGCCCTTATACTCTGAGGTGCCCATTCTGATTGTGATCTAGTGAAGCTAGTGTGGTTCAGGATCCGGCTTGTGAGCGCCAATTGCTAAACAAAGTGGTAATCTCATGTATACCATTGCCGGCCCCGTGTGACCGTATGTGGTATCCCGGACCCTTCAACCTTTAGCTTTGCGTGGCAACGGGTCTACCTCCCCTAAACCCCAATCTAAATGAGCTACTGGCCTCGAATAGTTAGCCAGAGTTGCTAGATTTCCTGGGCTAGGGTGCAGGGCACCGTTTATTCTCGTTAAAGAGCATCTCTGGCTAGGTCTCCAGCAATTTCATCGCACAGCTTATCGCCAATGCCATTGCCGCTTGCTGGGCCGTTTCAGTCTGGGTTTAGGGATGAAGGTTCAAGGTTTACGGTTGTGGGGCTTGGTCCTAACAGCACCAGCCCTCAAATACCGAACCCTAAGCCCCAAACTCTAAACCTCAGTTGAGCGGCGGGAGACTTGGAAGTCCCATTGTGTAAGGCCTACAACCACAGCGTCTCGAAACAATGACTCGTAGCTGAGGGGTTTAGGGCTTGGGGTTGTTGAATATGGTTAGGATCTGGGGATCTCAGGTTTTAGGGTGTTGGTCCAGGTGAAGGTTTGGCGCTTAGGGCTGAAGGCTTGGGCTTTGGGTGATGGGTTCAGGCCGGCGCTCTAGCTGGATTCGATGGGTTTCGTTGAGTGCAGTCAGCTTGTCCTAGAAAGCCCAATGCCAGCGCACACTGCATGTTGCGTTTCTGTTCCTGGGAATACACAGCTTCAGACCGAAGTTCCCGCAAGCTACAGATGTCTTCACAGTGCTCAGCAGCAGCTTTGCGAGGTTTGGAGTTGAGTTACCTTCCCTCATCCCGCCTCAAAAAAGCCAAACCCATCCGCCCCAGCGCCGAGGCTCAGGGGAAGAAGTCCGTTCTCTACAGCGGGAACCCTCGACAGGCAGGGAGATGTCGGGGACAGGGCTCACAGTAGCTGCGTAGGTTTGCGTAAGCTATGGAGCAAGAAAGATTCCGCACACGAAACTTCAGATCGTAGCCAGCTCCCTATGGTAAAACCTGGTTAGTGTGAAGAAGAGCTGCTGCTGTTGCTGCTGCCCCACAACAACAACAACAACAGCAAC